ATCCAATATTGATAGAATAAATAGATGATGTGCCACCATGCGCCATTTGTCATCCCCCAAACACAGGATACAAACATATACAAACAGTATAATATGTAGATCGATTCATATAATTAATTACTGGTTTGTCCTGTCCCCTTCGCCCCGGGTGGTGCAGGATTTCTGACCTCCGCAGTTGGTCGGTTTGTCGCTACATCGCCCTGGTTTCATCGGGGCACCGGAGCCCATGCGACAGGCAGGTGCTCCAGGCAGGGCAGGGGCGTCAAGCTTGGATCGTGATGCTCTGAAAAAGAACATGAGGTTTGAGCTAGTAGCTAGCAGGAGAATCCATGACTGGCACGTTCAATGTTGATACTGCGGAAATGCGGATGCTGGATCGAGAGACCGCTTTGGATAGGTCGCAATTGATGTGCACACCAACATGACTCAAGCGCAGTTGAAAAGAAGCGGATGTTGCATTTAGGTACCTTCCGAGCCCATATGAAAGGAACACACCTTCATTTTCCCAGCCAGGTCAGACCGCCGGGGACCTAGAAGCGATCCGCCGGTTTTGGGGGGGAGAGGGACAGAGAGGTGGGGTCAACCCGAAAGTGAAAGCACCAAGGCAAGGGAACTCCCTTTTTGCCAAGTGTCAACATGTTTGTGGTTGGAGTCGGAATACTCCAAGATCTGGAAGTTCCAAGGATGAAGGGCGATCTTCAGCCCAGTGGATGGGCAGATGTTTGATCTATCCCAGATGGCCGCCATCTCCTTGATAATTACTGTACTTACAGTAATTACTCTATAGTGACATGGGCTGTGCTAGATGAATGCCATATTTGTGCACTGCGTATGCAGCATGCCATAGGCAAGATACAGCTGGTTCATTGCCAGCATAGACGTCTACCCGAGAAACCTTGCGCCAGACCAAACCAAACTCCGCACACTTAAAAATACAAGACAATTTGGTGTACTATTCCCAAAACATCACCAAATCAAAACCAGAACCAGCACTGGCACCAGTACCATCACTACAACAGTCACGGCCCGGGCCATGACACCCACGACGGCCCCTCACTGAAGGTCCTAGCTCCAGCACCAAAAGCCACAGTGGGGAGCCCCGGCAAGCCACCAGTGCAGATTCTGAGGTACTGACAGAGTATTTTGACCAGAAGTTGTTAGACCGCGGCCACATTTTATAGGCATTGGATTGTAATGGTATGATGGCTGAAATAGGGCCTTGTAGATCACACAGGTCCATCGATCCAAAAACTCAATGACCATTCCTCGGGAGGCCACAACAATTGTACTTGCTCCTTTAGTTGATTACCAGAGGTGACCACTGAGGTCCTACCAGGTGGTTATTGCCGACGAATCTCTCTCGTTGGTTCTGCACTGCACGAAGTACCTGGAAGAGGTTCCGTCGTCCAATCCGAAGCTCTCTCAGGGCGAGTCCACCGCGGCTTCTCCCTCATTGACACCGCGTGCGTCTCCGCCGGCCCGGGACCAGAGGATGAACTCCATTGAGATGGGTGGTGCGGTTGAGATAAATCGGTCTTGAGGTGAGTGTTTGCTAGTTGGATTATATATCATCGATATAATATATATATATATATTATATGGATATCACTGAATGATGTTGTTTTCAGATTGTTCAGCTGGATTTTGTTGCCAGTTGAGTCCATCAAGTGGCTTTCGGGGTCTCGTTTCGTGGCAAGCTTGGTTTCGTGGAGGCGCATATTGTCGTGGATGTGGACGAGGAGCCCACCAAAGGCGCATAGCGTCGAGGCGTGACCTCTTTGAGTTGACATGGTTTCTTCGCAAAGGCAAGGGTTTGTCGCAGACCCCACAAAAAGGCTAGAGGTTTTGCCCAACAATCCTCATTACCCCTCAAAGCAAATATACTGTAAGTGTCTCCTCACCACAACTGTGTCCCGGACATGAGGGGTTTGTTGGATGCAGGAGGAGAAATGAGCCTATGCTGAGACCTACTGTACCTGGGTCTTGCACTCCATTACCCACCACCCAACAACCCCATTGGTGTATCTAGTGTTTGCTTTGCGCACCCTCTTTTGCCAGGTAGGACGCATCTCCTGGCGACAGCTGACAGAGTTGCACATGTTGCGAAACAAAAAACAGAAACAAAAAAAGAGTTGGGCGATGGCTCCAAAAGTGGCGAGGTTCACATTTGCAGCGGACATGGGTTGCAAGGTTTGGACTCACTCTCGAATCGGCAAGAGGCCTATATAATCCTATGATATCCTATGTATAATCAGAGAAGCTCTTCTGGAGTTGAGCAATTATGACTTTTCTGCCAAGTGTTTTTTAGCACTTATATAGATGGTTTTTTGTGTTTTTTGTTTACAAGTTTACAACCAATATTTGTGCTCATGCTTGCTGAATTACCATGAAGCCAAGTTTGATCACGCTGTTCCAAGAATCAGCAGCTGAGATGCACCGTATACATAGCCGATTCCGCAAGTTAATCACATTAGCCCGCTTTGGGGGGCCCCCCAGAACTTGTAGGTCCAATCCAGACTTGAGGACCGCCCAACATTCGATGGTCTTTGGCATTGCGGCAAGAGACCTGGGGGTTCGATTGTTCATTGCCGGAATGGCGTATATAGTATATATGTGATGTCACCCGTTGCTTTGGTACAAAGAAACAATCTTTCAGGCTGACCATGGCCAAGGAGCTGCGGGTATCCGGGGACTGGAGAAAACAACTTTGGTGCATAGCAAAGGAATCAGGGAGTAGATCCTGTTGTGGTGCTTTCCCTCACTTCCTACTAAACAACCATGAGTCATTTGGCCTAACCAAATCATTTCAGGTTGGTCAAGTGGTCAAACATAGGAATTATAAAGGAATGTGCAAAGATTCCTTGGCTGACGGAGGCGTTCGATTTCTGACCCAACTATCCCCATCTCTTTTAACAACTCCAGGAAGTGAGGACTATTGAACTGCATGGACTCATTTTGCTGTGACTTTGAGAGCTGGAGCTCTTAGCTTGAGTTTGCTTGAACATACATCAGCACTTGCTACACTGCTACACACACCCAGCCACCACCCCACTCATTAAACTCCACATCCACACACTCATGAGTACACCAGCCTACGCCTTTGAGCCAAGCTGGTGGCAACATGAAGCTCTTGAAGCAGTACACGACGAGTTGTTTTCTCCTTGGGATAGGAATGGAACGTGTTCACACATGTACAGTACAGATTCTTTCTATACACAGAGTTTTTCTGGCAATGGCGCCTGCACCTGAGTCAGCCCCTGCCAGTTCCGCCCCAAAAGCTGCGGACGAGACCCTCCCCGCCCAGCCGACAGAGGTTGCGGTGGAACCCCCTGCGCAGCCGGCTCCAGCGGACACAGCACCAGTCGAGCCCCCACTAGCACCGCAGCCGGCACCGGCCCAGGCGGCACCGGCCCAGCCAGCACCGGCCCAGCCAGCGCCCACGACGTCAACCCCAGAGGCGACCACGCCCGGTGCGACGCCGGTGGAGCCACCTGAACCGCCAGAGCCGCCAGAGCCGCAGGCACCGGCAGAGCAGCCGGCGGAGCCCGCGGCGGAGACGGCCGTGCCCATGGAGGTCACAACGGCACCGATGCCGTCGGTGGCAGATGTGGAAGCACAGAATCGTTTCTCGGCTAACCGTCTAACCAGTGGATATCAGTGGACCTTGACGCCGTTAATGCCGTTTTCTGATAGGTCCAAAGGTAAGGTGGTCCATCATGTTTATGCAGTTGCAGCTCAGCCGATCGAATGCCATTTCTGATACGCCTTTGGATCCACCAAATCCACTCCAAAGTTTCTCCCAATCCCATGTTTGTCCCAATCCACGCCTTCTGCAAGTGCTTCGATCCATCAACATCAACTGAGTTGATACGGTCTCAAGGCTGGGCTGAGCTGGAGAACGCCTTTGTGGCATTAGAGGCAGAACGAGATGGAGACTTGGCTGGCTTTTGGGGGAGCGTTAGGGTCAATTGTAAAGTAATAGGGTGATGGGACCGGTGAAATTCAACATCGATTCAGGAGACTCACTTGGGTAGAATTGAAGAGCGGGTGGGAAAGAAAGTGTTGAAGCCGGGCAGTATCGCATAGGTGGTGTTATAGCTCCGAGGAAAGGATTCTCAACCCTTCTCTCACATGTCGCTCTTGGACACTGAAGCGCGCGTCACGAGGATTGAAGAAAGAGGTGAAGCTCCTCCGACAACAATGCCTCGAGGAGAACCTGAAGGACGCCCCCTTCGCCTCTCGCGACGACGGATCTGGATTCTCCGGATTCGGTGGGGCCGAGACAACGAATCCAGGAAGGACCTGTGAAGATGTTGAGGACTGGAGCAGGACAATGACAAAGGTCAGCATTGAGGGGTGTGTCGACTATAATATAAAGAAACAGATCTGAAAGCTTCATTCGTTCATTCCATGGTTGTGGCTGTGATTGCTGTTGTCGTTGTGCATTGGGATTCCTGATAATCGCAAACACCCATGCCTCAACATGTATATGGCTGGGGCATTGATAGCAATCAGTGTTGCTCAATCGCATGAGATTGTGAGGATACAGATTCCGTTTGACATGTTCAAACAGCACAATTATTTTATGAATTCTTATTCATATGAAAATAGTGACTAGTGGAATTAGGCTCTTCTTCACGAGCAATTTGTTGGCGAAGTGAGATGATTGCAGGTGGTTTCCAGATGGTTCTCCAGTAGTGGTTTTGGGCTCATGAGCAGAAAATCATTGTCTTCAATGTGATTTCACTGAGCAGTTCTTCATGTTTGACCTTAAGAGCTACATGATGCCTAAATACACATGAAACACCACTGGATCATGGAGGTACGTTGAGTTGCTTGATTCTGTCCACGTGGTTAATGATAGCATATCCCAGATACGGTATGATACAGTACAGATTTGGGCGACCATGGCAGAATCAACAAAAGTGACAACAACAACAGCAGCAGCAGCACCAGCGAAAAGCACAAGAACAGCAGCAAGACAAATGACACTCCGTTCTGTTTGTGTTGTTATTTGCCAATCTCCTCGAACTTGGCGATCTTGTGGGAGCATGGACGACCCCGAGGCGTTGCTTGCATTGGAAGAGATGAGCTTCAAGGGGGGTCCAATGCAGTCCAGGTATGTCCAGCTAGTCCATCGGTGAGCCATTGGCCACTGGTTTCGAAGACTTAGTAGATATCCCGCATAGTGGAACTGTGTTGGATGTTTGATCCGTCATGCGGATCATGGCTGGTCAAGAACCGTCTCCCATTCTCAATGCTCGGCTACCAAGTTGCAATTTGCATCAATTTGCAACTCTAGTCCTTTACTCATTACTGCGCCAATAGCGGTTGCTGGGAATGAGCTGCCCGTCTCCATCAGTGTGAGCTGGTCCACCGGGAAAAAGAAACGGTTCCACGGTGCGACGGCCAAATCATCGGAGCGACGGAAGAGCTTGTTTTGGAGTTTGGGAACAAGGTGATGTCCAAATAACATCAAATAACACTCGGAGAACTGTGTTACTTGAGCTTGTTTTGGAAAAGGTTTCCGAGTTTGGGAGTTTTGGAACAAGGTTATTTCCAGGTGTTTGGTGAACCAGACTGGATCTACCCACCTTGACTGGATATTTTTGGGCCTGTCCCCGTGTAACAGTATTCGCACTGACCTTAAGTTGGATCCCTTCGTTAAAATGTCGTTGAACTTGAGGAGCTCCTGTCATGTGGTAACCTGCACAGCAATGTTATGTCATTCATTTGATGATTTTATATTTTTTGTAGTCACTGCAACCCCGGTGACTACCAACTGGGTATCTTTTTCCCATCAACACAGCCATGCGGGAAGATGGCATGCGCCTCTTCGGCGTAGGTGAGATTGCGGAAGAACTGGTATGGCTTCAACTATGATGCTTTGCCAGAATGGAGGGGTCGAAGCGAGCCTCTTGAGTCCAACAGCAGTTGAACTGTGATGAAACAAAGGAACAGGTTTGAACAAGTCGAGAGAATGTGAAGCCTGTGAGAAGGTTCAGTTCTTGTTTGATGATCATCTTGACTTCGCCAGCCAAGCAGGAGGTTTGTGTTGTTTCTGCTTGAGGGGGGCACTTTGCGGGAGACCGAATCATACTGTTCCGTGTGAAGATATCCTCTCCATGAGAATGCTGCGTTCAAGCAAATCCCTAATGGCCTTTTAAATCATGGACCCTCGCAGATGAAGGGATGTTCTTCGGGGCCTGATACCCATGCAGAAATTAGGGCTCCCATGATGCTTGGAAAACACAAAACTTTACAGTAATGTGACACAGCAACTCCCAAATGCGACAGTACCACGTGCACGTCCAGCAACGGGCACGGTACCAGTACCATGTCCTGTTGACCGATCCAACAACGCCTTAGAGGTAACTGGACCATGCTGGACTCTTTTCTTTCCAATTGAAAGATCTTGGGTGAGGACGAATCAATTTGATCGGAACTTGATATTATATTGTTGGATGAAACATTGGCTCGATGACAACTCATGCGTTGCATGTCGACGGAATGGTTTCCAAGGACAGCATCAAACCCACCTCTTGACAGCCCACTACTGCCCCTCCGATGATGATGGCCTGGTGGTGCTGAGCGGTTGTGTGACCACCACACAGCCAATGCAGAACAAGGCCAGGGAAAACTGCGGCTTACTTAGAGCGCCTTCAAATTTGTTGATGGAAAAGGAAAACGAGGAACATGTGCTATCAAGTGTTATTCTCCGTTTGTTTCATTGCATGTTTGCGAGCTTATCAGTTTGCGTGATTGGCTGTATGATCTGCTCGGTTCGACCTGACCACTTGGGTGGGCCACTTTCTGAAGGTTTGCCATGAGGATATTTGTGGTTGAATGCAATTAGGAAATTGGCCTTTTCATGTAGACACGTTTCACGGTCGCGAAGAAGATACAGTACCTGGTTCAGCTGTCTCAGGACCAATTTACCACTCGCCTGACAAATGTGCCGTTGTGGTACGCACCACGTTGCACGTGTGCCTTGGAAACCTTCGGAAGTTAGGAAAATAATGCGGGGCCATCAATTTATTCCAGGGACTACCTCCTGGTAGGGGGTATGTACCACGGGCCCCTGGAATTATATAGTTAAATACTACTAATAACCATTAATAACCATAACATGGAACGGAATAGAAGCCGAGCTGTGGTGTTTAATGGTGTTTACGTATGTTTATTATATAGAGCTCCAAAATCATTTGTGATATGCCTCACCAATGGGTTTTTGTGGTTCAATCCACATTGAGAAGCCTCAAGAATGAAAGAAAAACACGGTAAAAAATATGCAGCTGCACACTATCTTTAGGGGGGATGGCAGACGGGGAAGATCCTAAGGGGCTTGTTTGAGGCCTGCTCGAGTTTTGGGTTGCAAATTTGGGTTGCACCATGTTGCTGGAATTCCATGGAATCCCGTGACTGTCGTGACTATTGGATGGTAGTCCATTTGTACTCCCTTGGGAGGTGCTGGTCGGTCCCTTTTGTACTGTGTAACCCGACATCGCTGTGTCTCGCTGAGGGCAATTCGTGGCGCCCATCGCTGTGTCACGCTTCGAAGGCATCCGACAGTGCAGCGCCAGTGTGACGTGGCAACGAGCAGACGGGCGGACGGGTTGGAGACCAGGCGTTTGGGTTCAAGTGTTTGGAGATTTGGATTGCATCTTTGAGACGTATGTTAACCGGAACCCCGATCACCCATTGTCAACCGGTTGTTGATACAAAAACTTTGGCACATTACAGTTCCATGGTGTTCAGTCCACAGATCCCAGTTGTTTCAAAGTGTGAAGAGTCTCACGGAGGTTCGGTCCCTAATCCAAATCTAGTCACAGTCCGCTTGACCCATGTTTCTGGTGATCACGGGCATCACTGTTCATACAGCTGGAACAATCAATCAGATGACTTCAAGCGAAGGCTTTGGATCGCTCCACTGCAGAATGCTCATAGTGGAGCTTGGATGACACACAATACCATATTTTCGAACCCGCAACATGGCATTGCTTGGCAGAAAACACAAACACGCAAACAAGAAACGCACAAAAGAATTTGCTGGGCTATTGCAATTGACAGATTGCAGCATATTGATCATTATTGATCAATCATATTGGAGCATCGGTACCAATCAACCAGAAGTATATTGCAGGTGCGAGACACATGAACGAAAAAAACACATAAAACATGCGTTGTTTATCTTTGTTTGCGGTTTGTCCATGACAGATTTATGCCTCAAACAATGTAAAACGTAATTTTGGACTCCGTCCGTGCGGTCCTCTTGTTCTCGCTTAAATGGTTGTCCTGCCACAATCTGGAACAAGGACAAACACGTTGGACAAAAACACACATTTGGACCGACGTAACAAGAAGCTACTAGGAGCTCCTGGCATCGCTACTAGGAGCAAGGACGCTACTAGGGGCTCCTGGCCTTATTACTAGGAACAAGAAGCTATTAATTTTGGTTTGGACCTTTTGGGTGTCGTTCGTGTTTCGACGAAGCCTCCGATTTGTGCAGGTCTGGGTGAATGACACGGACCGACATTTGTACATGAGGTTTCACAAGAAGCTTGGCCATCAACGCTGGTTGTTGTTACCAAGAACACAAGCTGTCTAGTAGTAAATTATGCATTTTGTAGTGCATTTGGTACCATTTGGTCATTCTTCTGATGGATGTACTGATGTGCTTCTTTGTTTTTGTCTCCGGGAAATCGACTAAACAATCAGTGGTACTTACTTCAGATTGCGACCAAACTACTGCTAAAGGATGTCTCAAGCTGAGAGTGGATTGGTAGCTGCTGCTAGGCCGATGAATACTCATCATTGATGAGAAAGGTCTTGGTAGTGCTGTATTATTGTCTGTGCTGCAGGCTGCACAGGGTAAGGATCGGTGTTGTTGATGTTGGAATTCCCTTGATGGTTTGTGCACTCCATGTGTTGAGCCATGAAGAGTCCAAGCTTTTTGCAGCACCAAGCCCTCTGTGTATTCCCCCAAATGAACGAACTCCGTCACTGTCAAAACACGTGTTTTGCAGACAAAGCATCCTGAACGCACCAGGGCCTTCTTCACAGCCACAAATTGTTGCCGTGATCCCCCACATCCATTTCTGGAGTCTTCGAAGTGACACTTTATGAATCTCCAGTGAACATGTCACAGCAAGCAGACGTCTAAGATTCGCTGGTATCATCTCCGGATTTCCAGGAATGCCACACCGATGGTCGTTCACTTCTCCGGCTTGGCGTTTAGCACCCGCCGGGAAGAGAGCGCCGAACTGCCGCCCGGTTTGACCTTTAGGGGTGATTTAGAGTGCTCGTGCACGGTCCATTTGATTTAGAGGGGTTGGACGGTCAAAACAAAAGAATGGATAAGCAATGATAAGCAAATATGTAGATGCTTCGTTCGATCTGGCCAAGGTGTCCTGCATACATTGGTCACGACGATTGCCCTCCATGTCGATCCACCTTGTATTTGTTATGAGAGCAGAACAAGCTCCGTTTTCCCACCTTGGTAATTAGAGTGGTCGAACCTCCAGTGGCGGATCAGAGAGCTCGCCAGTGTTTGGTCTGCCATTGGAGAGCTCGAATTATTTTGGTTCTAAAGATGTCGCCTAAAATTAACTTAACGAGGCTGCTAGCTGCAGACATTCTGCAATGTCCTTCAAACTGTTTGGTTCCTTTCTTGTTTTGCATTGATGGAGTGAGCATATGGCATATTGGTTCAAATGTTTAACATATTTTGTAAATATATATATATATAAATTGAAATCTGTTTGAACGTGTCATTGATCCGGCACTGTTTATTGAATAGAATCTCGGTGCAACGTGTTTCACTGAATAGCATTCATCATGTGTGTGTGTGTGTGTCGTGTCATGGCCTCTATTCCTTCGTGCGCATTCGGTTCGCGCCGGCCGAGCGAAGCGTCGGTTTGCGCCTCGTGTGGCCTAAGGTCCTTGGCTCCAAACAAACTGAGAATCTCGAAGAACACGGCGGAACTTCCTGCGGTTGATGCCTGGAAGGAGCTGAGCCTTGGCGTTGGATATTTGGACTCTAGGACCGACATGGGAGCATGTGGGTTCTACCGACATCATGAGCCTCATTGTATGGATGAAGCGACATGATTACAGGATTGTCCAGATGCATGAATGAGGACTCCATAATGAGGATAGATGATGGGACTTTTTTTCACAGAGATGATCTAGGTTGGGCAGTTTTGGACAGGTTTGAGAGATGCATTTGTTTTCTTCCAGTTCCTAAGCAACAAACTCTTGGAAGTGGAGGGAACATGTACAATGTACAGTTCTATGTCCCATGATTGTGTTGCCTGGTGCCCAGCCACTTTGGCGGGGTCAAGTTTCTGACATTGGATGGGTTCCCCCGCCCAAACGTTGAAACGGAGAAGGGTGAGGTTGCTTTTGCTCCAACCAGACGCCGAGGAGAATGCTGCGGGGCACCTTTGCTGTGGAGAAACTCGGCACCGTCGCTACTTGGCGGCCGATTCAGCGTTTGAACATCGCAACGGTGTATGCTCTGAGCGGGCTTTGACTTGAATTGGAAAATGACCTGTTTGTGGCTGCGAGCCGTTTGTTCAAACCGCAAAACTCGACATTCCAACCGTTCGAGTGCGCTGCATTGTTTGGGTGGACTGTCGGACTTGTAAGCTGCATCAAACACCTCACAGCATATTGGGGCATTGAGATTCAGACATCCTTTGGTTTTGCTATTTCTCAGTGCCTTATGTTGATTTTGCCCTGCAGTATGGCTGGAGCCTGTGTTGCGGAAAGGTCTTCCTGTAGGGCACTGTGTACTAGACATAGGTTGCTGACCCAGGAACGGCGTAAACAACTGGCACCCATGATGGGAGTTGTCTTTGATGAATCTGGTGCCACTAAGTAATTGACCCGCCAATTCAATGGAATGGAGTTAAAACCAGCGAAGGATCAGCCCATCACCATCCGCCGAGGAGAAGGTGGCAATTCTGCCCGAAGGTCATCGCCCCAAGCGCGAGGTGCGATGCCTGGCGCCGCTGCTGATCAATCCGGATCTCCAGGACAAGACTTCGCAAGAGGAGGACTATGCAGCTCGACACACTAGACACTAGACACTAGTTTAGTTCTAGGTTGGAGGCCATCGCTCTTAGGTTGGAGGCTGCTGCATGCCATGTCTCAGCTGATCAGTGACCACCATGGCTGCGTCTCATGCGTTGGCAGACCTGGGGTCATAGGTCGCTCGCAGGTTTGGATTCTTGCAGGTCCTACAAGAGTTCAAGGAGTTGGGACATGTTAGGACTAGAATTGGGAAGTCCACCCTTTTTTGTCGGGTAATGTTGGGTTGCATACAATACATGGGGCAGACAAAGACGAGTTGACTGATCATGCGCGTGTGTGAGTATGTGTGTGTGTGTGTGTGTCCCACCCTGGACAAAGGGTCTTACCCCACCACTCTTCC